GTGTTTTGGGTTGTTGTCTTGCTGCATGACCCACTTTCTCTTGAGCTTCAGTTCACAGACAGCTACCCTGACATTTTGCTGTAGAATTTGCTGGTACACAATTCAGAAGTCATCGTTCCATCAATGATGGCAAGCTGTCCTGGTCCAGAGGCAGCAAAGCAGCCCCAAATCATGATACTGCCACCACGTTTCACAGATGGGATAAGGTTCTTACGCTGGAATGCAGTGTTTGCTTTTGCCAAACAGCACTTTCCCTTCACGCCAAAATGTTCTGTTTTGTTCTCCGAGGAACATTCTTTCAATGGCCCTCTGGCTTATCCACATGGTCTTTTGCAAACTGTAGATGGGCAGCAGTATTCTTTTTGGAGAGTAGTGGCTTTCTCCTTGTAACCCTGCCATGCACACCATTGTTATTCAGTGTTTTCCTGATGGTGGTCTCATGAACACTGACATCCATCAATGCAAAGGAAGCCTTTAGTTCCTTAGATGTTACTCTGGTGTTCTTTGAGATCTCCCAGGGTATTACACCCCTTGCTCTTGGTGTGATCTTGGTTGGTCAACCACTCCTGGGGAAGATGACAATGGTGTTGAATTACCTCCATTTGTACATGATCTGCTTGACAGTGGACTGGTGGTGTCCAAACTCTTTGGAAATTGTTTTGTAACCTCAACTGTCATTACTAATCAACCATTGTTACTGGGACTGGTCCAGGTTCTGTTGGTTTCTTGCGTCTGGATGTCATTTTTAGACAGCATGGACTGAGCCAGAAGGGGTGATGTCAGGAGCTTATTTCAGAAGCTGCTAGTTTGTCACCATCTTGGCTCCTCCCCATGAGGCGGTCTTCTCCAGATTCATGAATGAAATATTTTCTGACATTTTAGACAAGTACATACTGGTATATTTGGATGACACCTGAGGATACTTTCTTGAATGAGATGCATATCAGAAACATTAAAGAGACTCCACAAACACAAGCTTTTTGTTAAGTTGGAGAAACGTATTTTTGAATTACCTCAGTTGTACTATTTGGGATACATGATCTCCACTGAAGGCATACAAATGGATCTTGCAAAACCATAGTCCATACTTTATGGCAACTGCCCCATAATGTGAAGAATGTACATTTTCTGTATTTTGCTAACTTATATAAGGTAGACTTGTCCTTGGCAAACTCCAGTGAGATCAAGCCATCAAAAACAGCTGTGAGTAATGTTGTTTCAGAGCCAACATAGGTTACCCCTGGGTGGAACTTTGATGCAGAACTAACTGGGAGGGGGCTGCATGTTTGCTGGCTCTGAAGGGGTCTAACTGCCCACATCTCTTAGGAGTTTTCTGACTGGCATAAAGAGCATAAAGTCTTTCTTTGTCTTATTATATTCTTAAATATAATTTGATTCTGTCTTGTGTTATGTTATTTTTATTTGATTTATATAGCTGCCCACCTCACATATGAGCAGCTTATGATAAAATAGATAAAACAAAATAAAATAATTAATATAAAATAACACATGCCAGCTGAACTTCATAAAATAACCATCAAGAAAACCAAGAGATGGGCTGTATCACACTTCCATGTTCCACTTCCAGTTTTTAGGGCCTTGTGAAAGGCCAGCATGGTCAAGGCTAACTAATCTCAGGTGGAATGATGTTCCACAGGGTGCGTGCCATAACAGAAAAGGCCCTCCTCTTGGGACCTGCCAGCTGACATCCTTAGCTGATGGCACCTGGAGCATGCCCCTCCTGCCAGACCAGGTAGGAGGGATAGGGGAGAGACAGTCCTGTACGTAGCCTGGTCCCAAGTCATGAAGAGCTTTAATGGTAACTACCAGCACCTTGAATTGCACCCAGAAGCACACTGGAACCCAGTGCAGCTGGTGGAGCAGTGGCGTCACATGCTGAAAATTGATGCCATTAACTGCCTGCATCGCCACGTTCTGCACCAGCTGAAGCTTCCAAATGCTGTTCAAGGCATTCGGAATGCCCATGTAGACCATGTTGCAATAGTCTGGGCTGGAGGTCACGAGGGCATGAGTGACTATAAGCAGGGTCCTCCAGTCCAGGAATGGGCGCAACCGATGCACAACCAAAAAGGCTGTGAAGCTGCAGGGCGACCACCTTCTCTACAATCTTCCCTAAAAAGGGAAGGTTGGAAACTCGATGGAAATTGATCAGGAAGGTGGGTCTAGCAATGGCCTCTTGAGGAGGGGGTGAACCACTGCCTCCTTAAGAGACGGCAGGACCACTCCCTCTTTCAAAGAGGAATTAACCACAGCCAGAACCCAACCTTATGTCCCTTCCCAGGTGGCCCTGACCAGCCAGAAGGGACATGGATCTGATAAGAGGTGGCCAAGCTAACAGCCCCAAGGACCCTGTCCACTTCCTGAGGCTGAGCAGGATCAAACTCTTCCCAAATAACTGAGCCAGACTTGGTCCCAGTAGCCCCAGACTCCCTCCTCCAGACCCAGCCAGGTTTCGGTAATACACAGAATCCATGATGAGGACATCCTTGTTACAGACTGACCAGCAACAATTGAAAGCCCAGGGCCTTGAAGGTCTGCCAACTGGGACCTCAAGTTGATCCTGGGTGTGTGTGTGCTGGAATGCACCACTGGAACCACATATCTCTGGTGCATCCCCCAAGAGCGGTCTACACTGTTTCCTGTCATATCTCCCCCTACCTGTCAATACCATGATGTTATGACCTGCCCCTCCCATCTTGGCCCATGCCCAAACCCATATAAAAGTGTATACAACATCATACGTATATATGCATTCAGTGGACAGATTAAAACAATGAGCATGTTTATAAAACATAATTAAATTATGAACAAAACCAAAAAGCTCTGCAGAATATACCTTTGAATCCAAGTCATTAGAGCCTTCCCACATGATGGAAACTTTCTTGCAAAGCTGTTACTCATATTTTCCCCCCTCCCTCCCTCTCTCTCTCAAGTGTTCTTGAGACGTCAGAACGTCTCTGGTCAGAGATCAACATTTCCGACATCTACGCCAACTGGCTTCCTTTGCCATGAACTGCTGTCAGATCCTTGCTCCTTAGACATCAAGAACTTTAGCTCTTCTGGCAGACCAATAGAAGGTGAGTTTCCCTAGTGGTTTTCATAGAGTAACCACGATGGAGTCTGTGTCCATGTACGTTTAGAGCCTGTTTATGTGCTTGCCATGCTCTGATCCTTGAGGAGTTGTTCGGTGTGACTAAACGACGACTCCTTGAGTGCTTTGCATAGAAGCCCTGTATTCTGTTCACTAAAAGAAGCTTGTCAGAAGAGACACATGCACATGTTTAGAAGGTGTTTCCCATGTTTGGAATTCAAATGTCAGTTCCATGGGGGTGCTTTGATCTGCAAAACAGGTTCAAAGCAGTCTTTTGCAAAGACTTCTTAATACTTTAACGCACTGCATAGATCATTGCATACATGCTGGGATGGAAGATAAGCCAAGCATTTTTACACCTTGTGTGCAGAATATTTTGTATTTTATACCTCTTAATTAGGTGGAAACATAATGCACCCTTTTTAAAAATGATACATTATTGTTGATGAGGAACAAAAACAGTTCAAAGCTGGTGGGGAATGATGGGTTTCTCCTGATTGCTGAGCATGCTCCAGACTCCTTGGATCTTTGGGGATTTTTCTTCCCATTTAAAATCCGTTACCTAACCTTTTGGACTTAGTCTGGTGCTCTGAAAGCCCCTTGGGTGGAATTGTGTTAGTTGTGGCACATATTGAGTAAGCTGCCCTCTGGCCTGATGCAGCAAGGCTCTAGATTTTTCTGAGGGAGGGGGCTTTCCTACTCCCATTGGGTGTTGACACATCAACAACGATGGCTGTGAAATAAAAATGGGGAAGTTGTTGATTTCAGCCTGTTTTACAAACATGTTTCTTTTGCTTGCTCAACACACTCTTGATCCTTCTTTTCCATAAGGCTTTGTAAAAGTATCATAAATCATAGTGATTTATGATTTATTCAATCATTTTCAAATGTCTTTTGTAAGTACCAGGGCTATGCACCACTTTGAATTTGAAGGCAAAGAGGGGCTTGGAGTGTGTGGGCAGCTGCACCATCCCAGGAAAGATGCAGTTGCTTTTAGGAGTTGCAAATGGGCACCTTTTTGCCTTCAAATCCAAAGTGCTGTATAGCTGTATTAAACAGTGCATTTGATGTGTCTGTCAGTGACCTTCCTTTTCTGTGTGATGAGCAAGCAGCTGTAGGACTTTCTGTCTTCATTTGAATTGATTGGAGAAACTGGCAATCTTAAATGGATTTTCCTGATTTTAGGCCTTGTCAAAGCTGTCCAGTTTACCCCAGGAATGGATGTTTCCGGATTTCACCTCCCCCGTACAGAGCCTGATACGGATTTGTCCAAGCTGATGATAGTCACTTCCAAGACCCCACCAGCCAGGAGCCTCTTGGAGACTCAGCCCCTGATTCGGAATTCTGGCTTCAGCAATGGCTCCAGCAGGGACTCTTCTGTTACGGAGTTCAGACAGGACTGCAGCAGAGATGCTGATGGTCCAGCCAAGCTCTCTTCCTGTGCCAGGGAGTTGCAGCATCGCTGGTCTCATAGCCCAGTGGAATGCACTGAACTGGATCTGCAAACGTTTTCTACCTGGGCTGGGAAGGGAACAGCAGATAGAGATCACAGGCAAGCAGGAGCTGCCATCTGAAGTTCTTAGGTGGTCTGTCTATCCAGCAGCCCAGGCTGGATTGTCTTTGGAAGCTGTTTCAGTCTTGTGTTCATCCTTCCAAAACCCAACAATTGAAAGTGGGGAGCACCCAGTAAGTTCCTCTAGCAATGCTCTTCTGGAGCAACCACCGCTTTGAATATTTACAGCTTCACTCTCTCCTCTCTTTTGCACACTTCAGCCACTGCCATTCTTCCCATCAGTGTTGCAGCAATGGCAACCCTGGTCTTGAGCTAAAGAGACTCTCCCCTTCACATGGATTCAGTGGCATTATTGGGCTCTCTTTCCATCAAGCCACACCCAAAAACTGAAGAGGTTGGCCCATATCCACTGATCCATCCAGAAAAACGGGTGCTGGGCCAGATGTCGAGGTTCCAAAAGCTTGTTGAGTTCCTTGCCAGTTTTGAAAGAATCTGTCTTCCTGTTGTCTTGGCCTAAAACTCTGTAGAAGGTTCAACATCGTGATGCTTTACTCTTGCTTTATAACCAGTTTATTCAGGCTTCATCCCAGAACATCCAACTCTAGAATGTTGTCTACTCATCCACTGGAAGATGAATGGAAGCCAGTCGAATACAACAGCCCATCCTATGTTTGCTGGGAGTCAGGTGGCTTCAATTGAGCAAGGCGCTACCTTGTCTCTTAGACTAAAATCTCTAAGAGCAAAAGGGTTTATTTAAAATGGAGAAAAAAATCTGAGAGATCTGGAATAGCACATGTCTGCTTGAGATTTTCTTCATGAAATTCGCCTCCTGGATCAACTTTGCAAGAAGGTTGCAGAGTCAGGTGACAAGTCCTGAGCACTCAGTCTATCTCCTGGTTTCTCCTGTTTGTTACTATCTGGCTGCTTGAAGTACATAACTCCATCTCATGAAATACTTATCTGTTCTTGAAAACCCTGGAACTTAATTTTTTTTTTCTTTTGGTTGATTGTTAAAAATGTTATGATTTATTTTCAGGACATGAAGGAAAGTTACAATACTCCTGAGATCCCTGAAAAAGAATTTTACTGCTGCTGTGGAATTGAGGTGTTCTTTTTTACTCTGGACATTTATAATAATTTCAGTATAGCTATTTTCAAAGTATGCCTTGATCATTCTGAGCTTTGAGCTCTTCAGCAAATGTAAAATACTGCCTTGTGCATTTTTATTGGATACATTCAGGAGAGGGCTCTGACCATGCTTATTTATTTCCCCTTTGGACAGAATTGTAGGAGAAAAGCTACTGTATGAAATTGAGTTTTTAAATCACAAAAATGGTAGCAAAGGAAGGGCTTGACAGAATAGGTCCAGTTTTTTAAACCCAGAAGCTTTTAATATTATGTATCTTTCATTGCGTATCTTTCATTGTTCTGTGGAAGGAGGAACCTGGCCCAGGCTTGTCTCTGCTGGTAGCGAGGGCAGTTCATCAGGTGTTTCTTGCTTTTGCATAACAAAAGTCCTTCTGAAATGCCTTCCTTCTCAGATATCCCTTGGCCATCTCAGGGATGTATCTGACATTCCACATTCATGTTGTCAACTCCAGAATTTAGTCCCCTATATAAATACAGGTAATCCTCACTTAATGACCCTAATTGGGACCAGCAACTCCACCAAGTGAAGTGGTTGCTAAGTGGGAAATCACATGACCACAACTGTGTTTTCTGGCTGGAAAGAGACAAAACTACTCAGTTTCACACCTTTGGCTGTTGTTTGCCTCCTAACCACTCCTCTACCCTTTGGAATGCTTGTGTGCCTACTTATTGTCCTGTACACATTGAAAGCAATGTGATTGCACTGCAGCCCAGGGCTAGGAGCCACGGGTGCCCTACACAAACAGCTTATGTCTTGTCTTCAATTTCTCCACTCTGTGTGTGTGTGGGGGGGAGCAATTTCTGTAGGTAATCTCTCCTCTCATCATGTTGCTTTCGATGTGTAGAAGAGCAAACAGCTTACTCTCTTGAAATCCCTTCCTCTCCAATCTCTCCACTGTGTGTGTGTGTGGGGGTGTCGAATGGCCAATAAGTGAGGACTACCTGTAGTTAGGAAAATAACAGAGTGAAGACAGGCCAAGACTGACTTGTTGAGTCAGGCTTAAGCAGGCTTCAGTTTGATCTGGACATTTTATTCCTACATTGTTTGTCAGTAATTCGTTAACTGAGCCTGGAGCATACCAGTGGCCCACCACACTGGCTTGCTAATCTGGCTGTATCAGGAATATAAGGATATTTGGGGATATCTTGCTGGTCATTTCTAGTATAATATGCTGGAAGCACAAGTTCCCAATGAAAGCAACTCTCATTGAAACCAATGCTAGTTCAAAGGAAAGTTCATTTACTGGAAAGTAGTAACAGCTCTAGAGCATAGCTGGAACTGAGTCCCATGCGTGCCAACACTTAGTTTTACCTCACCCCCATTTCATCCCCCTTCAGTCTTGGAATCTCTCTTGTGCATGTCGAAGATGTCCTCAGGTTCTCACGTTGGGACAGGCTTGTCATTCCTGAGTGAGATGCCCCTCTCTGCCTAACCATTCCCATTCCCATTTTTCCCCCCTTCCTCCCTCTCCCTGTAATGGCAGAAACGAACCAAGCAAACTAGTGGTACAAGTGATTGATTGCAAGGGTTCTGACAACTAGAATTTAGTGTTTGTGTGTGGTCACTGGGTTTTAAAGACAGGAAGGATTAGGGTGGGCTTTGAATTGCCTGTTTGTATAATTGTATTCTGGGACTGAATGCATTGAAACGTGGATAGAATCTCACAGTGACTGAAAGTTAACACAAGCCATGATCATTTGGTTTCTTTGCTAGAAGAAAATGGGGATCAGAAAATTACTTTTATCACAGTTTGCCTCTACGATTTTTTAGCAAATATTTGCAGTGTGTGAATTCGAGAACTGGATTTGGGTGTAGGAAAGTTAAGTTGTAGTGGGACAGCTGACCCGATCTTTTCTGTTGCAGGTCCAACCTCAGTATTGTTGTCCTGCTGTCTTGAAAAATAACTTTGCTGAAAAGAGCAAAGCCACCCTTATAGTGGGACCCAAATTAAAGATGTTGTGATTTTAGCATCCTTCTCCTGCCAGTCCTGACTCTCCAAGTACAGGCCAGGAGACATGTCCTGGAAATCTTGGCAGCTGTCCCTTCCTTTTGAAATCTGCCTTCTTCCTGATTTTTTCTGCTCTCCTGGAGTTAAAGCAAAATGTTTTTACCTATGAAAGTATCTGCCCCTCTCTCCGCAGGACTTCTTCAGGGAGGGGAGCTAAAATAAATGGAAAGCTTCACTGCCCTCCTCGTTCTCCTGCAGTACTACTAGTAGTTTCAGAGCAATGCTTTTCTTTGCAGTTTGAGACACTGTCTTATTACATGAAATTTGGGGAGCTCACCTTTTCCCCCTTTGTAGTTCAGATCCAAGAAATTGCATATGGATAGGAGGAACACTGGCTCCGTGCCTGAGATTTTGTCTGAAAAAGCTGAGCTCCTGCCCATCAGCTGTTTGAGATGCAGAGAGCAACAGCAGGGGCCAGTGCACAAGTAATCATCTGTGTGCGTGTGCTTGCGGGCATATTTTGAAGGGCTTTGCTGCCTACGTTAATCCTTGATGTTGCCTCAAGCTGAAGAAGTACATGGACCCATTTGATTTGCTCGTGTCTCCTTTTTGGTCAGCGGCATGTATGTTTAAAACCACCTGCCTCTTCTGACTCACCCATTCTTTTGAGGATGTTCTTTTAAGTTCAGTTGATTCCTCTGGTTCAATATTTCAAGATACTTGAGCAACTTTGAGAAGCAAGGAGTTATTGCTTACTCTTGTGCTTTCCAAATGTCTTCATATTAAGACATTAAGCACTCAGCCGAACGTGTGGCTCTACTTTCACTTAATGCTGCTGTGGCTTTCGCTGAGTGTTGACCTCAACCGCCACATGGATTTGTTCTGCTGAATGCAATTTTACTCTGTAATTAATGTTTCAGAGTCTCTGAATATAGAGTATCTGGTATAGACTTTTTCTAATACTGTATAACTTCAGTATGGAGCTGGGTTTTTTTTATCATCTCATTTAATAGATTGAAATGACTCTGGATTAGTTAAATTGTAGGTGCTGCTTCTTACATCCCCAGTGCCAAGTTTGCCTGAAATGTAGACACAACTGGGGAACTGGTTGACTGGGATGTTATAGGAGTGCTGATTATATGAGGCTGTAGTTAGTCACTAAAAACTCACACTTCTCTGCAGCCATTAAAGAGATGCACCACTTTGTTGAAATTGAACTAGAGTTGCAGTGTGTGCGTGTGTGTGTGTGAGAGAGAGAGAGATCAAGTGGCAGTGAAATATTTTGCTAAACACAAACGCCCATCATTTCAGGGATTCTTATGGTAATTTACTTCACTGATCTTATAAGATGTACAAATGATTTTTAATGATTATTTAATAGGAATTTTTCTTGGGAACATTTGTTGTGATTATTTTGTGAATGTCATTCTGTTGGCCAAAACAGTTGGAAAAGATAAGTCCTCTATTTTAATTAGAATCTCTAATTATTAATTATCCCTAATCATTACATTAATAATCCTTAATGATTTGCAGTAGCATCTTAAATTGTATCTCATCTCAGTAATAGGAACCGTATCATATGTTGGTTATGTGCTGATCCAGGGGAGAGGCCATTCGCTTTAGGGGTCATTAGAGTTCCCCTCAAAGCCTTATGGAGTCACTTGGTAGGTCAATCTATGTAAGATCTAACCAGGCGCTCAGGATACACAGTGGGCTCCTTTAGAAGCAGACTATCTTCCCCCATTGTTAGTCCTGGTGTAAAATAATTGCTCCCAACTATGCAGGGTAACTCTCTGTAGGTCAAGGAGACTGATGTGGGGAAGGTGCCATCAGATACCACTTGCAGTCTCTGTCTTATACAAATGATTCTCTTGCCTTAAGACATTTGTTGAACAAAGATCAGAGTTGGGTTTCAGATGCTGGCCCAATGCTACACAGACCTAAGGAACTGAAATGAATCATTCAGACCTATGTGCAAAAGGAATCTTATTGTTGCCCTATTATTACCAGTCCTTGGGTTTCTGCTTGGCATGCTGCGTGCTGTAATGTAAATCACGAACATCTTACCTGCCAACTGCCCTGTCTGAATAATGTGAAAGACAAGAAGTACATTTCAGTACCTCTTCCTGTAGTTTATTTTATAGTGTGTGTAAATGATTAGTGTGTAAATGACCAGTGTGGTCATAAATAGAGACTTAAAATAAGAAATTAACTTTTTTTTTAAGCAATGAGAATTTGTTGTTTTGCAACTGTATATTGGAAGAAACCCTGTGCTGAAATCTGTTTTCTTGTTTCACAAATCTCCTCCTGTAAAAGGTTTTTGTTTTTCTACCTCATTCTCAATGATCCAGGATTTCTTTACTACTTCTTTTGGAGGTATTTGAGATTGTCATTTCTGTTCCTTTCATCCTTGCACTTCCTAGGGTGCCCAACATCTTTCACCAGAACCTCCCCCCGCCCACTGATTGACTTGAACTTTTGGGGAGCTGAACGAAGGCTGATACAGGGGAAGGCAGCTGCTGGCACCACCTTGTAGCTCAAGTAAGAATTCTGTATCGAAGATTTCCTCTGGCATTTTCTTCTCCTTTCAGAACTCTTGAAAACAATCTCTGGCACAAAACCAAATGAGAAGAATTGAAAACATTCAGATGACTTTTTCTTTGCCTTAATACAGTGTGAAGCAAATGTCTTCCCAATTGTTACCCTGACTTCAGCCAATGGCTGGTTCTCAAATACAGTACATCAAACTAGGATGGCTTCAGTCTGTAGGTGTCAGTTTTCCATTTTGGTTTCCTTTTGAATGCCATCGCTTGGTTGCATCTCCAACCAAGATTTGTTTTCATGTACTATGAAAAAGTGGTGCATTATCTGAGACTAAGTTCTATTCACATTTCTAGTGCTGCATTATAATGTGTATTTCATGTATTTTCATGTGTTATGAGCAAAATATTGGCAACTTCCATGTGCTTCAGAATAAAGCAAAATAGAAACAAGACTATGAAATATTAAATACTGTACCCCACAGTCAACTGAAAGTAGCTATTTTTCAGAAATCTTTAAAGCAAATTAGCTTCTAACAATTTATCTTTGTCCCACAATTTTATAGTTCATATTGTTGATTCTGAAAGCTTGCAATTCATGCTAAGGGTGATAAAATGGAGTGGACTTAATATTACTGATTTCAGTGACACTTCCCTGATACATGTTTAAGAACAATTTATTATTTTTAATGCACAACATGGTTTTGCCAACACTACAGGCCTTTCCTATAATTCTTGTTCTCCGTAACACAGAATATTATTTGTTGATTTATAGGCTTGAAATAAATGGATCTTTGAAAATTCAGTTGTAGCACAGCATGGAAACTTGAGTAAGATGCCGTTTGCTTTTCCCAGTCGACAGCACTGGAGAACTGCGGGCAGACAAAGGATGTTTAAGCTCAGGTTTACAAAGGGTTTTATTTACTTTCACCCAGCAAAAACTTTGCCGTCAGCAATACTCCTTACAGGCTGGAAACAGGAGCATTTCAAAATACTGAGATTTATTGGCTCCTAGCTTAGTTTTCATTGTTAATCAACCTCAACTGATGACGGAGAATTTTATCGTTTTTTTAAAAAGCTGTTTCCGAAACAGAAGCAGCAGGGCTGTCTTCTGGCGCTGCTTCGCCCTTACTCGGGGAATAATTAATTTCTCGCGCGTTTGTCGTACGTGAGGTTCTGCGCTCCTGTTCCTGCAATTTCAAATGCGACTCTCTCAGTGACGGATTTCGGGATTCTTTACTCTGAGCGGAAGAGCCGTCCGTGTTAAATACTCTACACCGGCGGTGAGG